TGTCTTTTTAATATTTATAACATTACTTTATTAATGATTTAGCTAAAATATTCAGGAGTTATTATTATTTTAAAGCAATTAGAAATATTTGAAAATATTTTTTTTTTCTTGTGTTATCCGCCCTTGTATAACCAAACCGGTAATTTAATGGAGCGTTCGTTTTATTATTGCTTTTAAGGAAATAAATTGTAAATCAGTCTTATATTTTAAAAGTTACATTGAAACAAATTTGAACGTATTTTTAATCATTCATTAAGTTCGCTACAGTATCACCTTCAGCAGGTCTCACTAGCCTCCTAGATGCTTCATGTTGAGGATGAATTCGCTCGTATCAGACATTTTTTTACATACTTTGATTTCAACTGTCACGATTTTCACACATTATTTGATTTTGAACTCGGGACTTAATTACGTATAAAACATATTTTAATGCCTCGACGTTTCGGACGTATTGCAACGTCCATGGTCTCGAAGCATCTCGAAGGGACTGAAAATGCGGGTCAGCGTCTTCTGGCCGTGCGAGTTTTTGTCACTACCCGCACTTGATCTTCATCGGATCTTCGAAGGAGAGGTTTTACGACCCGGCAATGACGTAGTCGGTCGTGGTCAGGGACTAAGAGTAGGACCTCTTTCTACATTATTATTATAATTATTAGACATATTTTCATATGACAACTTATTGCAACAATTAGTAAAAGGTATTTGTATTTTTGTTTCAGGTAAAGAAATAAAGCGCATATCAATCGGTTTACCTATTTACTATTGGTATGTATTTATAGTTAGAAAGCTACAGGATCTCTTAATTCGAATTCCTAGTACCAACACTGTATTTGCAGATAGGCAATATGACAAGCGTGCTGTAAATCTTTACAATGTTTTAAATAGTGAACTGATATTAAATAAACAAATTCGTACTCTCTCTTTCTCTCTCTCACACACACACACACACTCACACACACACACACACACACACACACACACACACAAACACACACTAATAGAAAAAGAATATATATATATATATATATATATATATATACATAATTATAAATAAATATATATATTTCCTTATATATTGTATTGTGTATTCTATATATATTGTAAGGAAATTTATATACCTAGTTCGTAATATTAATATATTAAAAAGTACTATTCTTTTACTTTGTTAAGTTAGTTCATTATGTATATACTGGTTGTTTTGAAACGTGTAGGTAAGAAAGAGCGGAGTCTCCTGACTCAGGCTATGCTTAAAAGGAGGCTCCAGCCCCTATTGTTAAAGAAACCATGTTTTAAGATAAATAAAGATTATTATAGATTATTATTATTATAGGTACATTATGACGTCATTCACTAAACTCATCACTGATATTGAAGCAAAATGTTATTGTTTATACAAAAAAGCGTCACTCAACATTGGTGTAGGGATTGGCACAGTATCCTAGAAAATATTTTAAGATTGTCGACTGTCTCTTTGAAGTATAAAAATTAAATTCAAATATTTTTTTTAGACGATTAAATCAATCACCTGGTCCCTATTATTTCCTGTGCCAGAGTAATGGGGCAATAATCAGTATACCTAGACAAAAACCAATCAGAAAACTTTATTTCCCAAATTGGTCATACCGGGAATCGAACCCGAGACCTCACCAACGCCTACAGTGCAAACCGTTCGAAGTTTTGAACACTTTCCTTGGCATTTTACGGATATTACAATAGAAATTGTTTGGTCGAAGTAAGTTTTCTTGATTAATGGGTATTCTGTCATGCTCCAAATAAAAAATAAATAAAAAAAATGTAACGTATTAGAAAAAAAAACTATTCCAGAAAACTACGTTTTAGTGGCAGTAGAGCTCCTTTTGAAAGAGTTCGTCCAGGGTAATACTGCTACCTCACCGAATTCTGCCGCCAAGCTGCAATGTCAGCATTACTGTGTCCGGGTTTTGAAGGGTAAGGGTGTTGGTGAAATAACAGGCTCATAAAACTTGTCAACTTATGTCTCATTCCCTCAGATCTTCGCGATTTCAAGCCCTGTGTGGCACTGCAACTGCCCCGTCGACGTCCCGTGTGTGTGGATAGTCCTTTAAAATACCTACTGCTCGGCTTTGTTCGGCAACAGCTGTATTATTTTTTCACACCAGGAACCGGTCAAAACGCGAGGAAGGGTCGCGCGCTCAACTCGCGCCGACTGGTCATCATCATCCTATTTAAGAGCCAGGCTCTTGTCGGTGACTGATAATATTAGGGGTTAAAGTATGAAATTGCCGTTTTATTGCAATAGGTTCTTTGAATTTTCATAGAATCTTCATGGTTTGAGGTTTTCGAATGAAACTTTTTTCAAATGGTTTCTGTGATTTTTTTTTTTAAATTTGAAACATTTGAATATCGACTTTCAATTGTTTTTGTTATTCAATTTAGACAAGAAAGATGGATACTGCGAAAATTCGAGTGATTTTTGAATACGAGTTCCGACGCGGAACTAACGCGGCAGAAACAGCCCGCAATATCAATGCTGCGTTTGGAGAGGGGTCTACTAATGAACGCACCGTGCGATTTTGGTTTAAACGCTTTCGTGATGGAAATTTCGACTTAAAGAACGAGGCACGAGGAAGACCGCCCACACAGGTGAATAACGATGAATTAAGAGAGATAGTGGAAGCCGATCCTAGTCAAACTACCCAGGAATTAGCGGCATGGTTTAACGTTACCTTACCCACAATATTGACTCACTTGCGTCAAATCAATAAAATAAAAAAATACGATAAATGGGTGCCTCATGATTTGACTGATCTGCAGAAAGAAACGCGTGTTGAAACTTGTGTTGCCTTGTTGAACCGGTACAGAAATGAAGGAATATTGGATCGAATTGTAACATGTGATGAAAAGTGGATTCTTTATGATAACCGGAAAAGAAAAATGCAATGGCTGACCCCAGGTCAAATGCCACAACAGTGTCCTAAAGCAAAACTTACCAATAAAAAGGTAATGGTAACTGTTTGGTGGTCTCAGCATGGTGTTATTCACTATAGTTTTCTCCGATCTGGCCAAGCAATAACGGCAGATGTCTATTGTGCCGAACTCCGAACCATGTTGACAAAACTAGCAGTAAAACAGCCCCGACTCATGAATCGATCTTCACCATTATTGCTCCACGACAACGCGAGACCTCACACAGCACGAGAAACCATTTTGACCCTTCAGGAACTGCAGTTAGAAACCATTCGTCATCCTCCGTATTCACCAGACCTTGCTCCAACGGACTACCATTTTTTTCGTGATTTGGACAATTATCTACGTGACAAGAAGTTTTCTTCCCAGGAGGCAGTACAAAATGCTTTCACACAGTTTGTGCAGTCTAGATCATCGGAGTTCTATCGCAAAGGCATTAATAACCTTCCCATTAGATGGCAGCAATGTATAGATAATAATGGCAACTATTTTGATTAAATAAATTTGTTAAAAATTTAAAAAATAAACAATTTAGATTTTCAGTACAAATCGGCAATTTCATACTTTAACCCCTATTATTAGTAATTTTACAATACAAGATAAAGTGATTTTAAACCTACTGGATAATTTTATACATATAAGCGATTTTCTAATAATTCTATATGAACGATGCTATATAAAGGGCGCACTATAAGTTTCCGGAACTGGCCGCTTACATAAATAATATTTAAAAAGTAATTACAACATTTGAAAATGGAACTCTTTGGCTGTAGAATACAGTTTGTTTCATCTAACTGTCACTTGTTTTTACAATGTGGCGTCATTTTAGAAATTATTTGTCTACATCAACATGGATTTAACTCGTGAAAATTTTCATAGTACGATTTTCTACGACATTAAGTGTAACTTAACAGCTCAGCGGAGCTTCGCTCGGCTTCAAACTGCTTCTGGCGATGAAGCACCATGCAAGACGACTATTTATAGCTGGTTTGCAGAATTCAAACGAGGTTGTGTGAATCTCAGTGACAAATTTCGTGTCCACTGCTGTGAACAACAAAAACATCGATGCTGTGCGCCGTATGATCAAAACAGACCGGCATGTGACATACCATGAGAATCGGGCATCTTTAAGCAATAATAAATACAATCAATACTACACAAACATTTGGGTGCAAAAAAGCTGTGCTCTCGGTGGACCCCACACAATTTGACTGAGGTTCAAAAAACGGATCGCGTCACTTGGTGCAATGCCATGCTTACCAGATTCAACGAAGTGACATCAAATTTGGTATCGGACATAGTAACAGGTGACGAAACATGGATTAATAGTTACGATCCCAAAAAAATCGAGCGTATGGGTCTTTCGAGATGAGCCGAAACCAACCAAAGTGGCGCGCGTGCAAAGTGCCTCTAAGCGGATGATTGCTTCTTTTTTAAAAAAACTGGACACGTGACTACTGTTGCTTTGGAGAATCTTTGTACCATGAAAAGTGATTGGTACACGATCATTTGTTTGCCGGAAGTTATTGACAAACTCCGTTAAGATAACCGTAAACGCCGTATCATCTTGCACCACGATAATGTCAGTTCTCACACGGCCAGACAGACAAACGAATTTTCGAAGGTGAACATCGTTGACCTTATGAGCCATCCAACGTATAGTCCCGACCTGACAGCTTGTGACTTTAATTTATTTCCAAAAATTAAGAACCAGTTACACTGTCAACGATTTTCATCACCTGAAGAGGCTGTCGAAGTGTATGAAAAATATGTTTCAGAGATTGTCACGGAGGAGTGGCATAAATGTTTTCAGAATTGGTTCTATCGTGTGAAAAAGTGCATTATTGGTAACGGAGAACATTTTGAGAAACAATAAAGTCGTTTCTTTTTCGCATTCGCATTTTTTCTTAATTATTCCGGAAACTTATTAAATTAAAATTAAATTAAAAATCATTTATTTCAGGCATGGCCCATAAATTGTTAGTAACATTAAAATCTTATTCTATTATTAGTAAACCTATATCTAAACACAAGAAACAAATCTGGTAGGTACATTAAAAGCGGATGTTCTGGGCATCGGGTGTTAGGTGCACCCGTACCCAGTGCCGCAGCATGGAGCTGTCCTCCCTCACGGCCACGGTGTTCAGGATGCTGTTGGTGCCACCCCGCATCCGCCGCATCAGCGATGCGATTCTTTTGCGCACTATTGCGTGAAAGCCGTCCACTCGCGCCTCGGCAAACATCCCTGAGGCACTGCAGTAGCGTGACAGCCTCAACAGCAATCTGAATCCGTTGTTATATTGGACACGCAGAGCGTTGTAGGCTTTCTGTGTGTACTTTGTCCATAGGCTGCACGTGTAAAACGACTGGCAATAGGCCTTAAATAACGTCTGCTTTACCTCTTTCGAACTCCGGGCAAATCTACTAGCCAGCATATTACATCTCACCGCCAACGCTCTGCGTTCCCTATCTATGTCGAGGTCGTCACTAAGGTCATCGGTGACCCGATGGCCAAGGTATTTAAATTTATTTACCACCGGTACAGCAACGCCCGACAGTGTAACAGTCGGCATCGAGTAAGTTTTTGCACCAGATTTAAAAATCATAACTTCACTTTTTGTGGCATTATACCTTAACCCATGGGCCTCCGCGTACCTTTCACATACATTTAAAAGTTTCCTGACCGCGCTGACTGAAGGGCACAACAACACCATGTCGTCTGCGTAGCTTATGTTGTTAATCAACTTACCGTCTATAGAGCATCCAACATTTGTGCCGCTGAGCTCTTCAATAAGGCCATTTATGTACAAATTAAAAATGGTAGGTGAAGTTATTCCTCCCTGCCTCACACCACATTCCAGCCCATAGGCCTCTGACACAACACCCGCCCATCGGACGTGGTTTATTTGACCTCTGTACCAAAATTTGAAAATGGAGACCAGTTCCTCAGGCAGTGTGGTTTCTGTTGACATTTTATGCCACAGTACATTATAAGACACAAGATCGAAGGCCCTTGACATGTCTAGAAAACAGGCATAGACAGGTGTCTTTTTGTCTGTGTAGTATCGGACAGTCTGCTTGAGGCACAAAATAGCAGCTTCAGTGGACAATCCAGGTCTAAACCCAAACTGCCCATCATGCAGGGTAACGTGTTCTCTCAGTTGCTTATCAAGCAGACTGTCCAACACCTTAGAAATAATAGTGGACAACGATATTGGTCTGTAGTTATTTTTATCCGAGGGGTCTCCATTCTTATTTTTTACTATTGGTATAACAATAGATTTTATCATGTCACCAGGGAGGTATGAGTGACCTACACAAAAGTTAAGCAGCATGCACACAACTCTGGGCAAGTGTACACCAGCGTGCCTAAGGTGCTCAACACTGAGTGCATCGTGGCCCGGTGACTTCCCCCGTGACATATTTTTAATCACTAAATCTATGTCTTTGGCATTAAAAAGAACATGACATTTTTTTTTTTTTTTTTTTTTTTTTTTATATGACATTAAGTAACGGGACGAACAAGTCGTGTGCCTGATGGTAAGCTACACGCCTGCCCATAACAGTTGCAGTGCCACCAAGAGCTTTAAATTACAAAGATCTTGGGGGCACTGCCACTGCGCCCGTCACCCTGAGACATAAGTTGACAAGTCTCATGTGCCTGTAATTTCACCAGCACCCTTACCCTTCACAACCGGAACACAGTAATGTGACCATTACTGCTTGGCGGCAGAAATAGGTAAGGTGGCAGTACTTCCCTGGACGAGCTCTTTCACAAGGAGCTCTACTGCTACTATCACAAGGAGCTCTACTGCTACCAGTAGTTTGCTTGAGTACTCCTCCGTGTTGTGCACCTCATACACACACTCAGATGGTGACACCCTAAAATGCTCCTTAAATAAGTTGGCAATTTGAAAAGGCTCACTAACACCTTCTACATTCATAGCAATACCCGGCTTTGGATTTACCTTGTTAGTCATTTTCCAGAATTCGGAGAAGTTTTTATCTTTATGATGACTAGCTAACAAGTTCATCTTCAATTGCTGTGCATTATCCTGACACCATCTTAATTTGCATTTGAAAACTTGTTTACTTTCTTTCATTCTACTATATATTGCACCTATTTGTGGCTTTCCATATAAAAGCCACATTTGATAACAAAGCCTCGCGTCACTATGTAGTGTTTTTAAATATTTATTCCAACCTGGGACATGGTGCTTTTTCCCTACATATTTACTTTTAAAACTCTCTGTAGCTGCCCGTTTCAAAATACCAACTATTCGACAGTATAATTTGTTTATAATTTCCCTGTGCAAGTGATCGTTACACATTTTGCCGCTGCACTCTGTAAATTCCACAGGAAAATCTATCTCCCTAAGCAGATTGTCACAAATACTTTTATATTTATCAATTTGTTCTAAATTTCTCTCCCCCCAGATAACCTTATTAACATTTAGTTTATTAATTACATGTTTAGGTGTTATTAAATTAAGGTAACACGTAATAATAAGGGGAAAATGATCTGACCAGAACACATCGTGTAGTACATGGATATCTGTGATTGATAGCCAAGCAGCTTCAGTGACAATACAGTGATCCAGCCACCTTTGCGACCCGTGAACGTCACTTACGAAGGTATAGGTATCTGTGTTCAGGCCTAGTTTTTCTACGTCCGCACAACGCCACAACTGTTCATTACAAAAATCGAAAAGTTCCATACCAAAGAGTGTCCCAGGGTGAGCGTTGAAATCTCCCAGCATATAAACCGACTCGACGTCGCTATTTCGTACAATGACACTTATCTCACTCATACATTCTGTAAACTCACTCAAATTATCAATCGCGTCAGTTGGCATATAGACAGAGAACACCAGAAATGGCCGCTCGCCCATATTAACCTTTATTGTGCGCCTCACGAAATCGGACGTGTATTCCCGCGCTAATGGCGGCTACTAGACTTAGGGCAGTGTCAGTGTCGGTGTTGCCAGTTAATTTCGATCTAGACCTACAACGATTAGGCAGCAGCAAGGTATTTATTTTTAGAAGAACCTCTTCTGCGGACCGCTGCTGTTGTGGATATCATACCTGAGGTAAAGAGACAGTCATGCACAAACGACAAACTAAAGCATTACATTATTACAGCACATAAAAACGAAAAAAAAATTTCAAACCAGTTTTATTCAAAGTTACCACATAACGTGGCGGTACTAAGCCTTATTAACATATTATAAACCTACCTTTTTGTACATTTACTTAGTGATCAATGCTATTTATAATATTATACAATTTAACTAGTTTATGAAGACAGAAAAGGGTGATGGGGCCATTTGCATTTTTTAATATTCGCGCCTTTGTTATTATACTTTGATAACTGTGCGAGAAATTATGCAAATGTAGTCTTTTTCCAGCTTTCAAAGCTTCTGCTAAACTTTCAAATTTACTTACAAAACAGTTCAAGTACAAAACATCCTTTTTATGAAAATTTTAGTACATCTCTTCAGTTCTATTATATCATGACAATGAATTAAAATTACTATTTGTTTAAAATTACAATACACAGTATTTTTACGTTACTGTATACGTGCGTGTGAAAGTGTAAGTTTGTGTTTATGTGTAAGGCAAATATTGTTCACAGAACAACATTTTCATTCGTCTTTACCCGACTTGACTGAAGAGGTAATTAAATTGAGAAGTTGGCTAATCTCGCCCACTTCGAGTAAGATCCCAAAATTACGGTGAAAGAGGCTAAAAGCCTCAACGAGGCAATAGAGCTTTCAGATTGCTTTGACTTTTTCATTACGGAGGTAAATTTTACGAATTATATGTAGTTTTCTTTATTCGAGTTTTTCATTTATTGAATAAATATAGAGGGCCGTGCTCAGCAGTGGGACGTATGATGATAATGATCATTCGATTAGAAACGGTTCTCTGCGATGACAACTAAATATTTTTCAGAACTTGGTCGATAGTCACATTTTTATTTTGTTTATTATAGACAAAGATAATATTGAATTGCATTGAAACCATGTAAAAAGTGTACTCAAGCCATTCTGACACTAGTTATTGTTTGATATTCGTCGTATTGTAATAGTATGAATCATTAGCGTATAATGTTAACTCGCCCTCTAAAAATAACATGTACATTATTAACGTAAACTAGAACAAGTAAGGCACTAAAACAGTTCCCTGTGGAATTGCAAAAGTAATTGGTTCAGGCATACTCCGAGTTTTGCCTATTTTGACAACCTTTTTTTATAAGTAAGGCAACAGTTTAGTCCTATTAGTAGCAATTTCTCTAAAACCGAAAAAAATAGTGCATGGTTGTGTCGAATGCTTTTTTTAGGTCAATTAAAATTACCCACCTAATCAATCATCTTTGTTTGTGATCAATTTTTATTTTTATGTTCATAATAAGATCAAGAAGAAGAAACGCCGCGTTGAGCACGTAAAACCGCCGTTATTATCGTTTATAAAAGATAAATTAATTCATACTGTTTCGACCGATTGTAGGTTTTTATATGATGTTTGATAGAACCGGAAGCCCAGAGATAGGACACTACCGGTATTTTACTTCCTTCCTGATTAAATTATAAAGGTGACTTATTTTTAACAAAAAGAGGACTTAAACATTTTCTAAGTAAAGGTTGATATAGATGGTAATTTGGTATAAAATATAAAAATAATTAACCTGTATAATATAATAATATAATTACCATCTAATCTACTTGACCCCCTGTGAGACCTCATCTAGATTTTTCAAAAACCTTGAATAGATGCGATTTATTTAATGCTTCTTTATGAATATTAATTTCAGGTTTTACTCATTATCATTAAAGTCTGCGCTTTTTAATATAATTTTTTATTCAGTTTAAGTTAAATTTGTCGCTTATATTGCTGAATTTATCTCGTGAAGTTTTTGTTTAAGTGCCTTAATAGATATTTTAAACGATTTCAGAAAAGGAGGAGGTTCTCAATTCGACTGTACTTTTTGTATCTATGTTACGCTATTACTCTGGCTCAGTATTTGTGAACCGATTTCATTAGATATTTGGTTCTGTTGTATAGTTTCATACGCTGTGCTATTGGTGCATGCTTGGCATTTAGTTTTTCTTTGTTTTTTTTTTTTTGTATAGATTCTTGATCGTTTTTCTAAATAATGTTCTTCATTAGTGAAGGTCGTGTCTCTGAAATTTTTCAGCAGTAATATGTTCTAGCTTTTTCCACATTGCTTGATGTTCGGCTTATCTAAGTGTCGTATTCTAGAAGTCTACTTATTGCTCAAATCAGGATTTGAGTATGGTTTAAAGCACTTGAAATCATACTCAATTCCCTTCCATTACGGTCGTATTTCTAGTGCTTGAAATAATACTATATCCTGACTTGAGCATTGAGTAGAGTTCTGGAATACGACCCTACGACTAGTTGAAACAGTGAGACTAGTTAGTACAGTTCGCGTAGGTCGCACCAACGACGTGGTTCTGCCGCGAGGTCTTTTACCCTATTTGTTTGCTAAATGTCTATACTCGTTGTCATATTCGGTATACTTTCCCCTTTCTCCTTCCCTGTCAAATCTACAACAACCCCTCCTTTGTGTGACCCATGTCGCTTATCGTAGATCGTGGCATCCATTACTTTCTTTTGATTGATTAAGTTGATACGTACCGCTCTAGATTCCATCATATTTCCTATTCTTTTTGGAAGAATAAATGGTTTTAAAATACAAAAAAGTTGTTATGGCATACGAGAATCATACAAACAGATTGTATAATTAGCTCATTAGGTATCATTCTATTCATAGGTTCGCAACGTCTCATCACTGTACATTATAAAGATTAAAACCCAAACAATTGGCATCCACGTTTACTGCCAGTTCATAACGCAATCAAATACGGGGAACGTTTAATTAGGCTGAAACTCATTAATAATGTTATAAGGATTTAGAAAGCGCTTTATTTTAAGACACTATGTAGCTTTTAAAACACAAAGTAATTTAAATTTCAGTGCTATAATGAGTTGGTGTCCATTTTAACAACTCTTTCTTCTCCGGGTTGTTTGAATAAGTTATAATTAGTATCTTAATTTTCTGCAATGAGACGTTAATAAATTTTCCATTTGTAACTTTCCTGAACTCCTTTGAATTCTCTAGAGTAGTCCTTTTTACAACCGGAAACCAACAAAACAAAGTTACAATTAAGCGTCAGGGTTAACGCCAGAACTTCATAATTAATTTTATATACCGGATGATAAGCTCCCCGTCCCAGGAACCGAGAATTCGGTGTAGTTTTTATAT